GGTCGGGACGGTAGCCTTCGAACGGTTGGGAGAAGGCTTGCTCCAGCTGCTGAAGGAATTCAAAGACATCTTTGCCTTTGAAGTGGAAGAGATGCCAGGCGTCAGCCCGGATCTTGCTGTCCACAAGCTATCCGTAGATCCCAAAAAGCAGTCGGTTAGGCAGAAAAAGAGGGATCATGGTGGAGAAAGATCTCAAGCGGCAGCGGCTGAGGTCAAAAAGCTGTTGGATGCTGGATTCATTAGGCAATGCTACTACCCGGATTGGGTGGCAAATGTCGTTCTAGTAAAGAAGCCGAACGGTACTTGGCGGATGTGTGTGGATTACACAGATCTGAACAAAGCATGCCCAAAAGATAGCTACCCGCTTCCAAAGATTGACAGCCTAGTCGACTCAACAGCCGGCCATGCGTTAATGAGCTTTATGGATGCTTATTCCGGCTTCCATCAAATACCTCTCTGGAAGAAAGATCAGGAGAAGACGACTTTTGTCACTGATCAGGGGTTATTCTGCTATACGGTGATGCCGTTTGGGTTGAAGAATGCACCGGCTACATTCCAGCGCATGATAAACACCGTTTTTATCAACCAGATTGGCAGGAATGTAGAGGCGTATATCGATGACATGATAGTCAAATCCAAGCTACAGACGGATCACCTAGCAGACCTGCGAGAAACCTTCACCACACTCAGGCGGCACCGGGTCATGCTTAACCCAAAGAAATGCATATTTGGTGTTGAGTCTGGGAAGTTTCTCGGATTCTTGATTGACCAAAGAGGCATCGAAGCTAATCCGGAAAAAATACAGGCGGTAATTGACATGAAGTCTCCCCGCACTGTAAAAGAGGTCCAGAAGTTGACCGGTTGTCTGGCGGCATTGGGGAGGTTCCTCAGCCGGTCAGGTGACAAGTGCCTCTATTTCTTCCAGGCAATCAGGAAGAGGTCAAGGTTTGAATGGGGTGAAGAAGCAGAGGCGGCATTCCAGAGGCTTAAGCAGCACTTGCATTCTTTGCCAAGGCTAGTGAGCCCCCTACCCCAGGAGGTTCTGTACATGTACCTAGCCGTCTCTGATCACGCCCTTAGTGTCGTTCTCCTCGCTGAGAGAGACGGCATTCAGCTGCCGGTGTACTTCATCAGCAATGTCTTAAAAAATGCTGAGCTCCGGTACCCCATGATCGAAAAATTTGGGTTGGCCTTATTCGTAGCAGTCAAGCGGTTGAAGCCTTATTTTTTGGCACATCCGGTTGTGGTATACACAGATCAGCCGCTCAAGCGTACGATGACAGCTATAGAGTCATCCGGTAGAATGATCAAGTGGGCTGTTGAAATACAAGGCCTTGAGATAACTTTTGAACCCAGGCGGGCAGTGAAAGGTCAGGCGTTTGCCGACTTTATTGTCGAGATGACTAGGCCGGTGCACCCGGAAAACCCTGATCAGGTCTGGAAGTTATTTGTAGACGGCAGCTCTACGGTGAACGGCTGTGGTGCAGGTGTTATCTGTCATTCCCCGGAAGGGGATAAGTTTGAATATGCACTACGGTTTAAGTTCCAAGCCTCCAACAATGAGGCACAGTATGAAGCCCTACTAGCCGGATTGCGCATGTGTAAGGCAGCCGGTGCAAGAAAGGTCGACGCCTGCTCAGATTCACAGCTGATCGTTAGCCAATACCTTGGTGACTACGAAGCCACCCATCCGGCTATGATTAAATATTTGCAGGCGGTCAAAGAGGAGGCTGGGTCCTTCGATGAATTTCATCTGCGACAGGTGCCCCGGTCTGAAAACAATCAGGCAGATGCCCTCTCAAAGTTGGCATCATCAGCCTCCGGTGATGCTCCTAGGACGGTCTTTTGGGAAGTCATTGAAAAACGAAGTATTCAGAATGATCCCATTGGAGTCTTGGACAGAACTGCTACCTGGATGGATCCCATCCGGTCCTTTTTGACGGATGGTACCTTGCCGGATGACCCTTCAGAAGCATCAGCGCTCAAGAAGCGTGCTTCAAGTTTTGTTATGCATCAAGGGGAACTCCTCCGGAAGGGATACCTGCAGCCGTTTTTGAAATGTGTAACCCCGGATAGGGGGAGAGAAGTTTTGGAAGATCTGCACGCGGGGTTTTGTGCCTCGCATATTGGCGGCAGGTCCCTGGCCAGAAGAACCAGACGGCAAAGGGTACTTCTGGCCCACTCTTGAAGCGGATGCCATGGATCTAGTAAAGAGATGCGACAAGTGCCAAAAATTTGCTAAGTTGATACATCAACCGGCAACAGAACTCACGACAATCCATAGTCCGGTTCCGTTTGCTAAATGGGGCATGGACATTTTGGGACCTTATACGCCTGCATCAGGCGGCCGCCGCTATATTCTTGTAGCAGTAGACTACTTCACCAAATGGGTTGAGGCAGAGGCGGTAAAAGGGATTAAAACGAAAGACGTGATTTCTTTCATCTGGAGAAACGTCATCACCCGGTTCGGGGTTCCAATGTCCATGGTTTTCGACAACGGACCACAGTTCGAAACGCCTGTCCTGAAGACCTGGTTGGGAGACCAAGGAATTTCCCATTGTTTTGCATCCGTTGGCCGTCCTCAGGCAAACGGTCAAGTTGAGGCTTTTAACAAGTTGATCTCAGACGGGATAAAGAAGAAAGTAGAAAGAGCCGGTGGACTATGGGCAGAGGAATTACCTCATGTCCTTTGGGCTATCCGGACAACCGAAAAGGGGGCAACCGGTGAGACCCCATTTCTCATGACATACGACACTGAAGCAGTTCTTCCCATTGAACATTATGAGCCTACTCTACGCATTATGTTATATGATGAGGAGGCTAACTGGGAAGCCATGTGGTTGGCATTAGACGCTCTTCCAGAGCGAAGGGGGAATGCTGCCTTGCGTCATGAAATCTACCGTCTGCGTATGACTAGAGCCTACAACAAGCGGGTTCGTAAAAGACCTTTGAAAGAAGGAGATTTTGTGCTTCGCAAAATGGAGGCAACCGGTAGGGCCAATGAACAAGGCAAATTAACCCCAAATTGGGAGGGACCCTACCGGATCTTTGAAGAAGTACGAGACGGCACTTACCGCCTGGAAACTCCAGACGGAAGAAAGTTGCCTAGAACTTGGAATGTAGATAACCTCAAAAAATACTACTTCTAAGTATTGTACATCTTTTGAAAATTTTCAAATGATTAATGAGAATAACATTCAATTTTGTATACAGCCGCCATGTCTTGTGCCTACCACAAGCGGCACCAGTAACTAATTTTTTCATCCGGTGACACCCATACGGGTGAATTCATCGAAGAGAACATCTCCCATTTGGGTGGTAAATTGTTCTAAGCGATCACACAGGCGGACAAATCCGCCTGACGATCCTTCGCACCAAAAAAAAAAAAAGGCCAGGCTAGCAACCCCAAACTTGCAGCCGGCTCACTTTTTGGAAGGACAGCCGGTACTCAATACCGCCGCCTGACTCTCTAAGAGCAGGCCTAAAAATTTTTTCATCCGGTGACACCCATACGGGTGAATTCATCGAAGAGAACATCTCCCATTTGGGTGGTAAATTGTTCTAAGCGATCACACAGGCGGACAAATCCGCCTGACGATCCTTCGCACCAAAAAAGGGCAGGCTAGCAACCCCAAACTTGCAGCCGGCTCACTTTTTGGAAGGACAGCCGGTACTCAATACCGCCGCCTGACTCTCTAAGAGCAGGCCTAAAAACATTTAGTCTAGGCCATAATTCATTCAGGGGTATGCTTGCAAAAGCCCAACCGGTGAATGGACATCCTAATCTGGCGTGATTCTTTTGCGAAGTCCCGACCGGTAATTCAGTATAAACCGACTGGCTCCCGAATCTAATGTTGGCACTTAGTGTATATTCGAGCTATATCATATGGATAGTCGCCTGGCTTGCAAAGACCCAGACCGCTATCCAGGGGCAATTACCCAGACGCCATCCGGTTTGGTTTTGGGTCGAAATTTCTTCGCCTAGTTTGCGAAGACCCAGACGGCAGTGTTACCGGTGGGGTCTTCTTGGCAACCCTTGCAAATTTCTTTGCCTAGTTTGCGAAGACCCAGACGGCAGTGTTCCCGGTGGGGTCTTCTTGGCAACCCTAGTAAATTTCTTCGCCTAGTTTGCGAAGACCCAGACGGCAGTGTTACCGGTGGGGTCCTCTTGGCAACCTTTGCAAATTTCTTTGGTTTTGGGTCAAAATTTCTTCGCCTAGTTTGCGAAGACCCAGACGGCAGTGTTACCGGTGGGGTCTTCTTGGCAACCCTTGCAAATTTCTTCGCCTAGTTTGCGAAGACCCAGACGGCAGTGTTACCGGTGGGGTCTTCTTGGCAACCCTAGTAAATTTCTTCGCCTAGTTTGCGAAGACCCAGACGGCAGTGTTACCGGTGGGGTCTTCTTGGCAACCCTTGCAAATTTCTTCGCCTAGTTTGCGAAGACCCAGACGGCAGTGTTCCCGGTGGGGTCTTCTTGGCAACCCTAGTAAATTTCTTCGCCTAGTTTGCGAAGACCCAGACGGCAGTGTTACCGGTGGGGTCCTCTTGGCAACCTTTGCAAATTTCTTTGGTTTTGGGTCGAAATTTCTTCGCCTAGTTTGCGAAGACCCAGACGGCAGTGTTACCGGTGGGGTCTTCTTGGCAACCCTTGCAAATTTCTTCGCCTAGTTTGCGAAGACCCAGACGACAGTGTTACCGGTGGGGTCCTCTTGGCAACCTTTGCAAATTTCTTTGCTGTTTGCGAAGACCCAAGCGGTAGTGTTACCGGCGGGGTTCTTTTGGTTATCCTCGCAGAAATATGTATAAAAAATAACAAGAATTCTAGTATTGAAGTGCAGAAACATAAAAAGCATTCAAAAGCCGGCTCAGCCGGTGAAAATGTTAATATTCAAAATAAAAATTATTACAGCTTAGCCCATCTCATCCGGTGCTATTACAAGATAATGCAAGGCGCGCAGGCCGGGAAGTAGTTGCTACTCCAGGCGAACAGTGAACCGGTCCTATTCCGGTTGGTTCTGGGTTGGATCAGGGTGAGCGGCTGCGTCGGCTTCAGGAACGACTTCTTCCTCTTCAGCAGCCTCCGCCTGCCGTCGCGCAATCTCCTCCCTAACCCAAGCGTCACAGGGTCCGGGCCCCGGCTCATTCGCCTCCTCGGCCAGAATGGCAAGATTAGAATATTTGAAGGCGAGTTCCCAAACGGTGAAGTCCGCCTCCGGGTGGATGATGGAAAACGCCCGTTGCATCCGGTTTGCACAGTCATGGTCATTCTCTTCAATGAGCCTCTCCTGCTCCGACTCCAAGGTGGCCTTGAAGTTCTCATTGGCAGCAGCCGCCTCTTTGCGCAGGCGCTCATTCTCTTTGGCAAGGCGGCCATTTTCAGTCTCCGCCTTGCCCAGCCGTTGGAGGGGCTCTTTCTGTTCCTCCAACTTTTTGTTGGCATCATCCAGGGACGCCTGCAGTTGGTCAACTTGGTTTTTCAGCTGATCAATCTGCTGTTGGAGGGCCTTGGCCTTCTCCGCCTGTTCCATGCGTATAGATTTAGATTCTAAGCCATGCATGTACAAAGAGTAGTCAGCAACATTATGGGCGTCATCAACAGCCCGTTTGCTTCTCCTTACCTCTTCAGACTTGCGGGCATAAGCTCGTTTGAGCCCCTCTACGCGCAGCATAGCCTGCAAAAATACAGCCGGTTAATACTGCATATTTAAAAATGCACGTCAAGAAAATTACCGCATGGTTGTTGGAGCATACGTCGGCCAGGTCGACCAGCACCCGGTCGGCATTAAAGGATTTGATCCCAGGGATCGCCTCCTTCTCGTCCCTGGGGACGGCTTTCAGCATGGCCCGGGCATATTGTGCCCCGTCCGGCCAGCGGGGAGAATTATCTGCACCAGAAACAGACGGTGAGAAACTCGCATATGCTCTGCCTATAGATTGCCGGCTGATTGGAGAATCCCCCGGCTGCGATCGAGACTGTGAATAAGACTTGACCCGCATGGGCAGATCAAGCAGTGTAAGGTCAAAGTTACCTTGGCGGCCCGAACGGCCTTCAGAGGGACCGGTTGCGGTCCTCAATGGGATGGCAGAAAGCACATCTGCAGATCCAGGCCCGTCTGGGACCTTTATTGATTTGCCGCCAGTAGTTTGCCGGTCGGCTGTCTTCTGCACCTTGGATGCAGACTCTTGTTGGGTCGGCGGAGGCCTGACCTGTTTTTGAAGGGACCGGGGCATCTGCTTCCCGTCCTGTAAACGAGAAAAATATAAGTTATGGGATTAAAGGATTGAAATAAACGAGAAGGATCAGACGGTTATACCTTCTTCGCCGCCTGGGCAGCAAGTTTTTTCTCGAGATTGGCTTTCCGGATGTCGGCAGCCGATCTAGCCGGTGTCTTCTCGGTGGGCAGCATTTTCTTGGCTTCTTCTGCAGAGGAAGGCACACGGTTAGAATAATAAATAAGCAAGGAAATAAAAGCATCCGGTTCGAAAGAAACCGGCTGAGTTCCGAATACATACGTTTTTTAAACATGCTGCTTAGACCACAAGCGGACAAGAATCATTCGTCCCTAAAAAATTCATGTTTGGGCACCCAGTTTCTAGGTACCCTTACTATCTCTCCGGATGAGAGGGTGTCAGGAACTAACTCAAAAAACCCGGAGTCAAGGATGGTCTCTCTATCATCCTCCGGGACAGGGGGCAGGCAGCACTTGGTCCCCAAGAGTTCTGGTTTCCGGTTGTAGATCCGGAATTCTCTGTTCTCTGCCGTAGTTGGGGCCTTAACCAAGTAGAACCGGTGCTTCCAGTCCGACCATTTGGATGGCTTGTCCAAGGTCATAAGGTATTTGGGCTGGGTGGTCAAGGTATACCAGGCTCTCCAGCCGCCTGGGCTCCTACTCAAGTAATGCATGTGGGCAAACGCCTCCCAGCCGGGGTTGAGGCCCTGCATCTCGCAGGCGGCGATATACCCTAAAATATTTACCCATGAGTTGGGGGTTAATTGCCAGAGACCTAGGCCATACCCCCTAAGTATGGCTTTTATTGTGTCGTGGAGAGGGAAGCGGACTCCGGCCACGAAGGCCGCCTCGTAGCACCCGAACCAAGCGTTCGCGTTCGGTTGTCCATCCTCCCACCATATTGTTCCCAGAGCAGCCGGGATTTTTATTGTATAGTCACCCCCCAGCGGCCGCTGTTTGATAAAATCTGGCAGCGCAGCCCGCATGAGCTCGCGGTCCTTAGAGGAGACGGCGATCATGAGAGGATCGTTCCTACTATCCCAAGAAGGCCTCTCCGCCTCCTCGCTATCCTCAGATTCGGTTAAGTAGCTGCTACTGCTACTTTGAACGTGACCGGCATCAGAGCCGGCTGGGGAGTTGGAGACCTCCTTATCAGAGCCTACCTGCTCTCTGGTCTCCTGGAGGGGAGCAGTCTCTTCGTTTAAAATGCTATCACCCGGGGTGCTAGGAGCGCCCCCGGGTGAGCCTCTCTGCTCTACCTCTCCTTGCTCTACTTCACCGCCTGAAGCTGGGACCTCAGGCGGCTGCTCATCTGAGCTCCCACTTCTGTAGTTGGGATCTCTGGCAGTAGACCGGATTCTGGCCATTGTGTCCTGCACAGACACAGAGTCGGTCGATATGGGTGTTGAAAAAGGGTTGTCCCAAAGAACAGAGGCGGCAGACCCAGTTCTAGACTCAGCCGTACTAATAAACCGGCTGAGTTCACAGCTAGGTTCCGGGTATGGGTATAAGGGGTCCATCTACTTACGGGACCAATGAACAAAAATGCGAGTAAAAGACTCAAACGGAAATACATGAAAAAGCTAGAAAGAATAGAGACGGTACCTAGAAGAAAATCTGGAAATTCTCTGGGATGCTTGCGAAGACGCAGGCGGTTCAAAATCCGGCTGGGTTTCTCTGATTACCCTCTCGAAAACCTTTGGCTAGCTTGCAACGACCCAGACGGTCTGTAGACCGGTTTCTCTCAACGAATCTCAACTCCGAATGCTCTCAACTCACAAATTGCCGGCTGCTCTCAAATTTTCAGAAATTTGGCAGTTTGTAAATGAGAGCTCGGGGGACATCTTCTCCTATTTATAGAATTTGTCCCAGAAGGTGAAAAGTCGTGACTCTTCGCCTTCTGCTTTTCCATCCTTCAAAAAGAATCTGAAGAGTTGTTAAAAAAAAATAAATAAAATAAATAAAAAAAAAAAAAAAACCTTTCACCGGCGCCACGTGGCACCCTGCCACGTCAGCACCAGTGAGGGGCAAATGTTTGGGGTAAAAATACCCTAAACACGTGGCCCAATGGCCTAGTGACACGTGGCATCCAGCCGTTGGTCAGCAGGGCTCCAATCCTCTGCTGACACGTGTCCTCTAAACCCTAAAAGGGAAACCATCCCTTCCCCACTATAAATAGTGGAAGGACTCTCATTAATGGGGGGCTGGAACATTTGTTGTTCACATTGAATACTCCTCAAAAAGAAAAACACTTACCCCGAGCAATATTAATTGCAGAATTCTCCCATTACGCGAGAAGTAACTTCTACATTACGTGCATTCTACCTCCCGTATCTTTACTAACTTGATCGTCGGAGGCGGAGCTCCTACCCCCAGGAGTCTTCGTGATTTTGCAGGCACAGGCGTCGAAGGGCATTCTTGGAATTGTAACTCTCCCGCAGGACACATCAAAAAACCCCGAAACAGCGGTGGTGGGGCTAGGGTGGTTTAGGGATGCGGGAAAAGGGTGAGGATGGGTTTAGGTCGGTCGGTGAGGGAGGGGAGGTGGTGCGTCGGTGGCTACGTGGGTCAAGGTGAAGAAGAAGGTGGCAGTGGTGGGGCTAGGGTGGCTGGGTAGTTTTAGGTTTTTTTAATTTTTTTTAATTATTTTTTTTTTTCTTTTTTGGCCAATAATAAAGCGGCACGTGGCTCATGACCCCACTTAACGAATTCCTAAACGGAATCAGTTAAGTGGTGGTAAAAACTATTTTTATAGTTTTTGTCTAGTGTTAAAGTACATTTTTTTTTTTGGGTATTAAAAACCATTTTCGGGTTTTTGTCAGGTGTTAAAATCAAAAATATCCTAAAGAGTAGTACTATAAGAAACAAGTCCAAAATCGCATTGAACCTGAATAATGAGAACTACGAACCAATCTCAGCCTTTAATTGCGCTCTATCTGAGGACTCACGTTCCACCCGCACTCATTAATGGCATTTTTGTAATTTTGCGGTTTTACAAACTTTTTTCCAGTTTTGTAACTTTTAAGCCAATTTCATTTACTTTATGACTGATTTTATTTACTTTTACTAACTTTTCATTTAACTGGAAATCACTTTGTAAAGATGAAATATTACGAAAATGTCATTAATGACACGGGAAGCATGTGGATCGTTCGATTAACATGATTCAAGGGCCTAGATTAGTTCTTAGTTCTTATTTTAGCTTTGGTTCTCATTATAACTTGGTTATCATACATATATAGGGTAGGGTTAGGTTGCGGTGAGAAGAGTAATTAGGGTGAGAAGTGTGAGAAATACAAATACATTGAAAATATACTTCAAATACATTACATGTACTCTATAGATACATTCAAAAAACATTGCAAATACATCAATTTTTGTCGTTTAAAAATTGACATGGAGTACAAATTGTAACTATAGATACACTCATCCCCTCAATCACTATTACCGAAACATAAACTCATTTAATCTCGTTCGCCACTCAACTCAAATTCAACAATCAACATACGAAAATAACAAAAACTTTGTAATCTTGCTGTACAATGAAAAGAAAAAAAAATCACCTTAATGACCATATATAAATCTTGCAATTTGTGTTTCTCATTTAACTTTCAATATTCAAGCCTACAATCTATCTCATCATCACCACATTCACCTACTCTCAAACATCTTGTGAGAATTATATTCAAAGTGGAGACTGAGATCCTCAAATACATTAGAAACACATTACAAATACATTGTGAATACATTAAGGTTGTGTTTGGATACTAGTAATTCATTTCAAATGCTTGAATTGAAATTCAGAATTTGAAATTTTAGAATTCAATTCCAAAAGATGTGTTTGGAAAACATCATTATTTCAATTCTAGAATGTCAAATTCCAAGTCATGTTTGGGGTGAGTAGAATTTGTAAAGATGGAATTGAAACGTTTATGAGTAATATCAACATATTATTCATCAACAGTTGCTAATAAAATTGGAGGATACCAAAAAAAAAAAAAAAAATTTACAAAAACATATACCTGTATCAGCCTCTTAATAACTCATACCCATAAAAACTAGGGGAAAACCTAATCTGAAAAAAGAAAAAAGAAAAAAAAAAGTGAGAATATAAACTCATCAATGGAGCCAAATTTGAAGACTTTATCAGCAACGACCATCATCATCTTCATCACTAGCGTCAGATCATACAAGAGCCAATTTGTTGAATTTGAAGTAGCAGAAGTTGAATCGGAGTAGTTCGAAGTTCAATTTTGTGTTTTGAAATTCAATTTGCTTGATATTAAGGTATTTTCGGAATTTTGTTTGTTTTTGTTCCAATTTCGTTTGATTTACTTTTAATTTATGGTTAAATTTGTTGTGATTTAGTTTACAATTGATTAGAAGTTAATTCGAAGTTGAATCAAAGGTTTATTTATTTATTTATTAATTTTTTTTTA